AGTTCTATGAACAGATGCTTAAAATGAGCTCTTCCCGTAGGCACCCTTGCATAATTTGAAAGACAACAACTAAGAAACCAAAGATGGAATAGAAAAGGCAGTGGTGGAGACATGTTCCCTTTACTTGAGTGACATTAATATGTTTGCACTAAAATGCTGAATGACTGTGCCTGTTCAGACCTTAAAGTAGGAACAGAAGCTTAGACAGAAGTTGTCTCATCCAGAGGCTTCTTTCTTTTTTTTTTTGATTTCTGCAGGTCAAACAAAATAAATCTTGTGTCCTTGGTTTGTCCTGAGGAACTTCTGTAATAAGTGTGATTATTACTAATGAGGAGTCCTTTGTCAACACTCACGTCATGTACTACAGAAGGAGCATGATTTATTATCAGCATGTATTTTGGCAGAAAAGTGCTCCATGTGCTAAGGTTTCCCTTATTCTGAATAGTGAGGGATGAGTGGGCTCACCTGAGATCCCTGAAAAAACTCCAAACAATATTGTTGCTGGTATTGATCTGGTACAGCAAAAGAAGATAAGAGCAGTTATGTCTTCAAAAACATAATGTTTTTTAGTGGTGTGAAAGAGAGTTGCTTTTAGCCTGATTAGCTGTATTCATTTTCACCTTCAGGCTCTGCCGCAGCTCTGATGAGAGTGGAATAATATCTTAAAGTGATGTCTAGAACAGCTCTGGTGTCTTCAGATTCTTTCTTAAGTATAGTGGGAGGGTAAACTGCACACCTTTTGCCCCTCTATGGTCGGAGTGAGATAATTTCTGCAAGTGCAAAACTACAGGATATATCAGGAAGCTTTCTCAATTCCATTAATCTCAATAAAATTTCAGCTTGTTAAAATTGTTCCAAGTCTCACTGCTGCTTTTAAAGTGTTCTGAAGTAGAGTTCAGGACCCACGGTCAATCAAGAACATGTTTTAAATAATATCTCAGTAATTGAACTGAGTCCTTTTCCAATAGAAAATGTTGTGATATGACTAGTACTGTGTTTATGTTGGATACTCAGATAAGTTACATCAGCTTAAGATTTGTAATCAACACATGCAATGCTTAAATCTGCCATGAATGTTCTTTTTTAAAAAACAAATGATTTTAAGTTACATACTTCGATCCTTTTAGTGGCGGTCCGCATGAGACTTTAATAAGCTTTGATTTAGTTGACTAACTTTTAAGAGAAGACAAGGAAAGAGGAGAGTACTTTTTCCTTCTGTCCCCTTGGGCTTTTGCATAATTCCTGTGAGACAACCATCAAATGGTGTGGTCTTCAGGATGCCATAGAGATCCCCACACAGGACAGCCAGTAGGCATTTTTGCGATGATCTTTTGTTGCTAGTAAACATCTGAGATCTCCTGGTAAAAGCCGAGTTTGCTGACCCACTCAATACAGATGAAGTGAGGAATGTTGTTGTACTCTGATTTTGCTAGTGTGAATGCTTTGTTAAGTTATCATGGTGCAAAACTGGTGTTGCCGGAGAAATCTGAACCCTCCTGTGTCATATCGAGGGATGCAGACAAGGGTTCATTCTCTGCTCTGAAGGGCAAATGCTGCATGCACAAAAACCAGCTTCCTTTTTTTTTTTACATTTGGAAAGTTATGACCTCGTCCAAATAAATTTGCCCCTCCTGGTATTCATGGTTAGAATACTTCTGCACTTTTGCTTCTCCATGGGAGAGAGAATTGGAACTGGGAGAGAGAAAAGCCAGAAATCAGACTTTCTGTGATGAGCTGATGTGCAGTCTGTGGGTAAATTTGAGGCACACTCTGATAGATTGAGCTAGGTGGCACAGTCGTAGGCAACTACATTGATTTAAGAAGGTGAGTGGAAAACAGTATTGATAGTTAGGGAGTGTAGATTTAAGATGATCAGCATTAGTATGAGCCAAATTGTCAGTGTTCACAGAATTGTATCAGTAGACACAGGAAGGGCTAAAATAAAGCTATTGTTTGTCCAGTACACTTTATACAAATCATGCAACCCTTTGAGAAGGTTCCAGTAATGAGATTCTGCTGCCCCTCTTTTTCTTTGTTTATTTTGTTTTTTTTTAATTCCCCAGTTGAACCATTTTCTTATATTTTAGTCACCTGAAACCCCTGGAGTCCTCGGGCTGTGTCCAGGATGGCACAAACACTAAAGACCGTGTGTCTGGATAGTTGGATGGGGGGAATAGCTTAGGCTAGAGTTGCTGCTGTTTTCCAAGACCAGGATGAGCGCCATTTGTGTGGGTGGTTGGTGGCTGTTGCCATTAGGAACCTCGTAATCTGTACTTCTGTCTTCCTGAGGGCCACTGTGTGGAATCCCATTTCAGATGTGACCTCCACGCAAACAGATTTGAGGTTGTTAGGCAGAAGGTCAAGTGTTGTCTTTGGTACGTGTGGTCAGCTATTACCGTGGTCGTGTGGCACTGCCAACGGTCAATGCATGTCGCACTGCCCCAGTCCTGGGCAGACAGATGTTGGCTGACCTGTGCGCTAGCCTGTTTGCATAGTTACTTTTCAGTGCCTGCAAAACATGAATAAATATTCTGTGCTGCAAGCACAAGTTAATCTGTATCTATTGCTGTGATTACTTAAAAAATTTTGATGTATTCAATCTGCAGAGTATTGCACTCTTGCATCTTTTTGGCAGATCACTAGCTTGGGTTCTGTGCTGTGACCACTTGGTTTATAATTTACTGTCTGGCAACAGTAGTTGGTGTGAGTGAGGCTTCTCTAGCTGTGTGACGTTTGCTACAGCAATGCTGCAAGTTGGCATTTTTTCCAGATACTTTACCTCTTTGTGGGAATTTCTAAATGGCTTAAAATGTTGTAATAGTTGTTCATATTGGTGTGACCAGGCAGGTGAGAACAACCATGTATTCAGGCCTCACAGTTTGGCATATTTGTGTAACTCGCTGATGAAAGCAGTTTTGTACTGAAGTATCTCACACTAGCATAAAAAAAAGCTGTGTGGAAGGGGGTGATGTCTGGCAAAGAAATGGTAACGAGTTGATAATGTGTCACAGAGTCTTGTGTTGAATTGCTGCTGTCGTTTGCCAAGACACTGACTTAGATGGGAAATGTTACAGCTGTAATTTATACTTATATGAGGATATGTGAAGAGTACAGTGGACTTGTTATGGTCATATCAAAGTAATGATCTCCTGCTTTATCTGTCAGGAGATATCCCAGAATTTTCTATCTTCAGCTACCCTTAGACTTCTCCATGAGAAGTGGATATTCATAAAATAAAGTTCTCAACTTGGAAGGCAGAAAATAAAGCTCATCAGGAGCATAGCTGGCAAGGAAGGAAGCAGTTTATTTCAATCATGCTCAATCTTACAAGAGTTTGCGTAGAAGAGGAATAGCTGAGTAGTTCATGCTGTTTAAAGAAGACGACACCTAAAACTTGATGGGCCTGTGTGTGGGGTGGGTATCTGCAAAGGTGAGAAGAGGAATCTCAGAAAATAACTTGTAGGTGGGAATGTGAGAGGTGATATGTTTGGAGGGTGGTGGTGTTCACAGTCTTTTTGTTTGCCTACCTTTCTGCCTTCACTGGGCGTTCAACTTTTTGTCTACAAACTTCCATTGTTTCGTCTGACAGAATTCTGGAAATTTTTCTTTCTTTCACAGTGTCTTGCTGCTTTATACCCTGGACCTTCCTTTGACACCATTTCTGCTATCTCTCCATCTCAATCTCACCTCCTGCTTGGTTGCTGTTTTCAAAATATGTGAAACGTGATTTGTGCTGGAATACTTTAAAAATCCCCCATAAATGTATTCCATGTAGTAGTATTCCCTGAACAGTCAATGAGACTGACAGGTGAGATCAATTTACTCTTTGGCCTTGCATTAACTGTTTTTAACAAAACTGGACTTTGTGCATCCCTTTGCACCAAACAGTCTACAAGGCCTGTCAAAGGATATGCATCTCATACCTTGTTGGTGTTTATTTTGGTTTGAAAAACTGGGGCAAGGGAAGATAATGTTACTTGAATGAAGACAGGAACAGTGCTGTGGGAAAACAACAACAGATACGGAAATTAGGCCTGTGATTATCTCTCTTCTAAAAAAAAGAAACAAAAAAACATGACTGGGAATGTTGCCAGGCACTGGAAGAGAATTGTCCTCACTGTTAAATCGTTAGCTTGCTCCTTGGCATGTGTTGGCCTGAGCCAGTGCTCCCAAAAGAGCCCTGGGCAGAGTTCAGGTCTTAAGAGTGTCCTAGAAACTGTTCCATTAGGCAGTTTGCATTCAGTTAATCTTTTCTGGAGATTCAGAGATGTTTCTAGAGTGAATTTAGGCCCCTCTGTGCTAGTTGGCCTCAATACTGGGAGTATCTCAGGGTACTTTAACTTGCATAAGTGAACCCTAGAAGTCCTAGATCGCAGTGGAGTACTCTATCCAGTAAACCATTACAATAACCACAAAAAAGAAGAGATGTCATGCTAAAATGAAGTTTAGAATAGAGTCTCCTTTTTTTTGGTGGTGACCCTCAGAAATCTTTCTGAAATCAGGAGAGTTCCATGTGTCTCTGATAACCAGTGTTTGTAATCTTAGTCTGTAATGCATTCTGGCTCAAGTAAAACTATCATGTTTTCTGTTTTAGTTGAATTGTTTTTAATTTTGAATACAAATGCCTGTCTGTTTAGTTTTAGATTAATGCCACTTAAGAAATGGGGAATGTGCTGTCATGGTGGTTTGTGTATCACAGAGGTACAAAGGGCTGTCTGAAGCAGTGTCAAGAAAGGAATAGTGCAGACATTGAACTTCCTTTGTAAACCACGTGGTGTATCCATGTTTTTCACAATGCTCTTATTTTCCTGCAGACCTGTTCTCTCTGAGGATGTGTTACAAGTAGATTTGTAGGGGAAAGGGTATGAATAACGCAGACTGTGCAGTACCTTTTTGTCTGGTAGAGGCCTTGTACGTGGGACATGCATTGTGTCGCTCTGGGGACATGTACTTCTTATATGGGACAGATGTCGTGAAAATGGCTTTTGCTTTTGTGTTTTAGGGGCACTAAGGGTCTTGAATAACCATGAGCAACCCTTTTGAACGGATTGTGGAGCCACTGGATCCTAAACAGCCTCTGAAGAAGTTCTTTAATCTAAACAAATTGGAAGATGTGAGATACGGTATGTTGACAACAAAAGGAAAGCATTTTGTTAACATTGATGAACAGAATCTGAAGACACATTGCGATGTTAGAAGATATTTGGTCTCTGGAGAGGGCCATGAATTCAAGATAGTTCTTGAAAACAAAATTTTAGCAAAATTTAATTCTGGAAATTTAGAACTACATAAATACTGGCAAGATCACAATATTATTTTCTCAATGTGCTGTGCACACAAAAATTTTATTTTTCTTGAGTGGATAAGGAGGACTAGACAAAAAGTAAAAGTACAATTTTTGTTTTCTGCTATACTACTATTCTACTGTGAAAGTCTGGAAAGGACCTACACTGATATGAGTGAATTGTCCAGAAAGATTGTTCAGCTTTGAAAACAGTAGTGACTAGAAAATCCTTTCTGAGGAAGCTTTTTCTTTCGCTCCTCTGACAGTTCCTGAATGTACTTAGGCATCTTCCATGTGGCACCAGTAAAATCTTACAATCCGTGCCACTGACTTAGAAAGCGAGTATCTATAGCTTAGAGCTGTCTATGTTGTGTTTTTTCCCTCTTTCAAAAAGGAAACAGGTGATTAAGGAGAAGGCAGGAAGCAAGAGGAGGAACATTTTCTCTGAACATCAGCAGCACAGGCTCAGTGTGTAAATGAGAAATCATTTAATGTTGGACTTGGTGTGTGAAAAGGAGTCTTAAGAAATAGACAAAAACATGTAGGTTACTACCAGCTGACCCATTCCAGGGTTCCAAGAGTGATGAACTCCAGATCCTTCAAAGAAGAAAGCATGCATTTCTCACTATGCAGCAGAAAAATGGAATAACTTAGCAAGAGAAGAACAGAATGGAGAGAGCGGGGGGGGGAGATTAAAAAAAAATCAAAACAAAAACAAAGCAACAAAAACCAACCAAGAAACCCCAAATGATTCTGAATGATGTGTCCTGAATAATAGTTGAGGTTTTTTTATGATAGCAGTAATGAGGTCTCACTGTGATTAAGTAGTGACTTTTGTGTCTTGGGGGTCCTGTGTAGAAAGTTGGGACAAACTTCTCAAGAGATTTTTGAATATAAGTATTCTGAGAGGATATTGAACAGCTATTATTACAATGGACCAGTGAAGGAAGGACAGATAAACTTTTTTTTTTTCTTCTTCACACCCATTGCTCATAGTAAAGCTGTCAGGACTGCTCTAATAATATTTTGTGTCATCTTCTGTAAGTATTTCCATCTTGAAGTAAGAGAAGATTAGCAGATGCACAGTCTTACTGCTTACATACAGATTCTCCATCTCTGTATGAGAAGAGGCTGCCTAGACTACTAAAGCTGTACTTTCCAACATGTCAGATAGAAAATTATGTTCTTGTAGTGCATTTATATGGCTGTGTTCAGTGGCAAGAGTGAGAGGAAATGGCAGAGAAACAAGGTGAGCACAGCATATTTTCAGAGTAGTATTGCTTTGGAGGATGGAAGAGCTGTGGAAGAGAGTCCTTTCTGCAAAGATATCTATTGTCTCACAGAGACTGAGATACTAAATCTGCTCAAAGAATTGAGTGGAACAGGTTGGTTAGCACTGACCTCCTCACAAAGCTGGAGGCTGGAAAAGGAAGTCTGATAATTTGGGCTAAAGCCTTGTGAGAATACGGGGACAGCACTTGAGGACCCATCTGCCATCGGTGCAGAGCTCTGTACTTGCTGACATATACCCTAAGGTAAAAACTGAGTTTGTTTCTTGCCTCTCACCCATGCAGCACACCTGCCGTTTTCTATTCGAGTCCTCTTGGAAGCAGCAATCCGTAACTGTGATGAGTTCCTAGTGAAGAAGGGAGATGTTGAGAACATTCTCAACTGGAAAGTGGTGCAACACAAGAATGTTGAAGTGCCGTTTAAGCCTGCAAGAGTTATTCTGCAAGACTTCACGTGAGTCTGGTGCTCTCCAAAGCCAAGAAGAGGGGCAGTGCTCGGCTTGGGGTAGAGGGGTGAGCTGAGGGAAAGAATAGCAGTGAAATGTTTGGAAAGACCTTTTTCAGCTTTGCTGGATGTCATGCTACAGACAACACTTGGAGAGGCAAACACTTATGATAAAAGCATTAAACGAAGTGCTTCTGGGATGGAGAAATAAATATTGTTATGAAACTCTTCAAAACAGAGGGGAAGAAAATGGGATGGAGAAATTGCATCCAAATGAGGGAATTCAGAGTTTAAAGGTTTTGTTGTTGTTTTTCGGGGTAGAGGAGGGGGGGACGGGGATGGTGGTGTCTTGCCCCTCCCCACGCCCCCAGGGGCTCTTGCTTTCAATTTCCACCCTTTTCAATCCTCATTTGTAACCCACATCATTATTTTATCTTCCAAGTCAGTATTATTTCAAATATATTTTTAAAGATTTCTCTGCTCTTCAAAAAATGAACATCTACTTTTTCACAGAAATGTGAATTGAGATTTCTACCTACCTACCTAATGGACTCTGAAAACTGGGCCTTGTTATTGCAGTGTGGTTAGTCCCCACATATCAACATGTAATAGTCCCTGGTAGACAGAGAAAGTCCGTTTTCAGGTGGAACAGTAGCTTCTAACTGTTTTTAATACCGCATTTGACTTACTAGTCCACTGTCCTTTGTAGCTTTGTCTTCTGCCTTTGCAGGAGAGTTTAATTCGTCCACGGTAAGCCCCATGCTGCTAAGCTTTCAGGTGGTTTTATTTCTCAGAACAGCGAAGTGTCTTAGCTGTTGTACCTTCTGTTTTGCATTTTCCCAAAGGTTGGCCAGGTGCTAGACACCCAGCACAGCTCAACTCTTAAAGACATAAGGGAGAAATTGCAAAGACTCAGCTGAAAAAAGCGCTGATTTCCTAGCTATTTTTTACCTGCTGCTGTTGCTAACATTTTAAAAAGCTGGAGCACAAAGGAAGCCAAACTTTCAAGCAAACATTGTTGCCTTTTTTATTGTAGTTCTTTCTTGCTCCCTTCTCTCCTGCTGAGTTTTAAAAATTTGCCTGTAAGTCTGCAGAGCAGCTGCATTCGTGAAAAATGAGCTCTTGAACAAGCGCCTGAGTGGGACTTTTGGAAAAGGCAGCTTTGGCAGTTTTCCAGAAGCCATACAACAATTACATTCACGTGTCCTGGATTAGAATTATTGAATTTCCTACATCTGATCACTCTGTAATTATCACGAGTTCTTCTAAGACTGCAGATGGATGTTGTGTCTGTTCCTTTTCAATTGTATGTCATTTGTAAGCTGGCAAAATAACTCCTGCACTCCCTTCTTCCTGCCTTTGCCCTCCCCCAAATCCATCTAGGTAGCATAACACAGCAATTGCAGTTTTGCTTGGAGTAGGCATACCCTGGAACAACAAACTGCTTCAAGCTGCTGAACAACATCTGTTAATTGTGTCAAGGTTAGATAATGTGGACCTTTTTTTCTGTTTGTCTGTAAACAAACAGGATTTTCAAAGCAAAATTCTGTGGGAATTACATAGCATTTTCTCTTCTTGAATTGTTTCTGGTATATTTTAAAATCATAATAGCTTCCTTATAATCAGAGTTGAAAACATAAACTCTCGCTGCTTTGGGCTGCTCTTGCAGAAACTTGGTGTTCTCAGTGGGTTACTGAATGATGCCGAATCCTTACAAGCACATCAGACAGCTCTTTTTGTCTCAGCAGCTGGCAAAATTGGATAGGCTGGTATAGAAGAGGGTTTCCCAAACTGATTGGAAAATGTCATGGTAGTAGATACCTCTGTAGAAGATGAGAATGTATAAGCTGAGAAGCACCAGAAGCTTTCTTAAAATAAGTGTGGAAACGTGTATGATCTATTAGGTAAGATGCGTGTTGAAGTCCCAGAGCTTCTGGTTACTCTTCCTTGTCTGCCTATGACTAAACTTCGGTTGGAATTGGAGGATGGACGAAAGACTCTGATGTGCGTTGCTTTGACCTTCTGTATAGTTTACTTTCCTCACTTTGGAAGGAAGGCTTAACTTGAGGATTTAAAAATAATTTTGGATGAATGAGACATACAAACATGGAGAAGAAGGCCTGTTAACTTTTTTCTGAGTCACTTGGAGGTCAAGGGCTTGCTGGATTGTCACAAGATATGTGAGAAGGCAGAAATGTGAATGTAGGCCTGTAGCCTGAAAACATGCTGTTTGAACATCATTTGTGATATAAGGTCTTTTGTTAGTGGTTAGTGCAACAATTTGTTAGTGAAGATGGATAGTACGTGTTATTTCTGCCTTCCGTGTTTGTCCAGTGATCTGCCAGGGTACTTAAATCCACTTCTGAAAATGCAGTTATTCTGCAAAGGTGTTTTGCGACCATATCCTTTATAGTTTCAGAAATCTGATGCCCTGCTCTGTCGGTTTCAGTTGAAGCATGGAAGGTACCGAAAAGCCCTAATTGTGGAGAAGATTCTCCTGTGCTTTTCAAAACTTGGAAGCTATGACCCTTGCCTTAAAATTGGCTAAATAAACATAGCAAAGAGTCAAAGAAAGGACACTGTCATTTTCCCCCTCCCCCCTTCTTTTTTAAACAGGCTGGGGGCAGGGGAGAGAGGAACAGAACAAGAGAAGAGAAACCAGTTCAGAGAAAGGCCGACTAGGACAAAGTTTCCACATTCCCAGCCAAGCATGTTAAACTGCTTCTGTTACTTGATGAATTTTGGTTTTAGCTTTTCATTCTTACAGTGCTCAGGGTATAGATACAGTTCTGTCCCTTCTGCTCTTCTGACTTTGTCTTCCCAGGGGTACTGTCTCTGCCATAGAGTAATGATCCCAGGACTGTCGGTAAGGCTGTGGTTTGCTTTGTATGGGACAGTATGGGTCTGTTCTGATCTCAATTGTGTCTGTTTTGTTGGTTTGTTTCTTTTCCAAATTGTTTCACCTTGCCTGTTTCTCTTCTGTTTTAGGGGGGTACCTGCTGTGGTTGACTTTGCCGCCATGCGTGATGCTGTGAAGAAACTTGGTGGGGACCCTGAAAAAATCAATCCTATCTGTCCTGCTGATCTTGTGATAGATCACTCCATCCAGGTTGATTTTAACAGGCGGTAAGGATATAACTCTTACTTATTAATGGTAGTAAGTAATCTGGATCCAGTTGCTGACAATGAAGGTAGTTCCATTGGTGATATTCTTAGCAGTTGGACTATAACATCCTAGACTCCAAGTGTTCAAGTAAGACTGTTGTATTAGTTACTGTGAAATAGATGGGGGAATTTTGTTTTTTTCTGTGGTGCATCTCACAGCAACACAAGCCTGGACTAAATGTTAATAAAAACAGGCTCAGTCCAGACCTGTGGTGATCATAATTTTCCATAATAATACTGCATTATTATTAGTTGCTCAGAAAGAGCTTTTTTCCACATGCACTTATCTTGACCCCATAGGGCTTTTTGAAAAGGACAAGTGAGAATATCTCCTTTCTTCCTTATTTATATAAGAATAGACCTGAGCTGCCCCAGTCCAGCTCTGAGGAACTGCTTGCTAGTTCAGTGCCTCCATGCAGAGGAGCACAAGACATTGATTAATATGGCCTCTGTAAGTACAGGAAAGAAACATAATGCTGTTCAATTCTCAGCATGCTACAGGATATGAGCACTCTCTAGACCCACAATGAAATACAAGATCTCTGCACAGGGGTTGTTCAGCCCTCCATAGTATCTAAACATGGCCCTACTGAACTACTTTTCCAAACACATCCTGCAATTACGTGTTTCTCAGTGGTTCCTTCCATCTTCAAACTCCTGATGTTTTTGGTCTGCAGTTACGTTGCCCACTAAAATGCTCTGTGTATTTATTGTTGTCTACATGAGATAGTTCTGAAGCAGGCCACTTAAGTTACAGCACTGCAAAGAAGAAAATTCCTGGGAGGTGAACATTAAAGAACACAAAGTGCACTTTCTCAGTGCCAATATTTATAGGCTGCTTTAGAATAAAACCCCTGAATTTCTGAGCAGAAATGTATTGCGAAGCCTGCTTCATAGAGGAATGTTGCCAGACAGTTTTCAAATATAACTTTTTTCCTACTGTTTTATGAAATGTAAACTAGTAAGGATACAAATTCTTATTGATGCCATTTCATAGTTGGCAGGGGAGAAAAAGAGCCAAAAAATTCTGACTGTGTAACTGTCGAAAATTGACTCCCTTTAACTTTTTTTCCTAGAGATGCTGTATCTATTTTTAATCTTAACATAACACTAAGGAGTTTAGAACCAGATGCAAAATTAGAAATAAGCATCTAAAGACTGATTTCTGGAGTAATGGGTGCTCTAGCACTAAGCATTAAGCTAGAAACCAGACCTTTTTTCTTGTTAATTTCTATCATATCGTTTCTTAAGATGTTTGGGAAACAGTGTATTTCTTTGTGCACAAGGTATGATTTCATCTTTACCATAGGCCAACATGAACTGTTATGATTCCTTTTCCTGTATTATTTTAATAGCATTAATTTTATGTTTTCAGTAGTATCCAGGACTTAATTCAGATAATATTTTGCTAATAATTACTTTTTGTCACAGCATTCTTTTACTTCTGTTAGGCTCATGTATATATGGAGAGAATATTGCCCAGCCCTACGCTTCAGTTATTTCACTCTTCAGGCCTAAGTTTGGCAGCTGGTTCAAGTGAGAAGTTTGCTAGCCCTGTCTGCTTTGAAACACAGGGGTTTCAGGCAGCACTGTATCATGAGTGGTAACCTCTTTTTAACTGAAGATGCAGGGCAGTTGTGTTCCAGTTCCCTTTACTACTTTGCTGATTGTTTCTGATCTAGGTGTTGGAAACTTCACATTGCTCTAACATGTAGTGTTGCTTTTCCCAAGCTACAAGTTTTAGGTCTGCCATATATGTGACAGGCAGATTAGCACTCACATTTTAACCAGACTTCAAGTGTATTATCTCTTAAGATTTCTTAAATCCTTTTCATAGGTTGCCTGCATTTCACAGCTGCAGTGACATTAAAAAGATGGGATTGATCAGCATTAACACTAGCTAATAACTCTTCTTTTCTTTCAGCCTTTGGGTATATCTGACCAGACATAAATTTCAGGTGGATATTTTTGGTTCTGACAGCTGGTTATTTTCACTTGCAGGTCAGACAGCTTGCAGAAAAATCAGGACTTGGAATTTGAAAGGAACAAAGAAAGGTTTGAATTCTTAAAGGTACTGAAAGAATTAATTCTATTTGCATGGAGCAAAGTGCAGTGAGCAGAAGTTCTTCCAGTGCTCATGTGCACTGAAAATTTTTTACTCCAATTCCTTCTGTTTCAGTGGGGCTCTCAGGCTTTTAAAAACATGAGGATTATTCCGCCAGGCTCTGGGATCATCCACCAAGTGAACTTGGAATACTTGGCAAGAGTCGTGATGGATCAGGATGGCTACTACTATCCAGACAGTGTGGTGGGCACTGACTCACACACCACCATGATAGACGGCTTGGGAGTGCTTGGCTGGGGTATGTGCAGTAGCGTATCGTGAATAGTCTCTTGGCTGACTAAGCTGTGTTTCAGAGTCTGGTGACTTGACCATGGCTAGCAGGTTCACCCAGTCACTTGCTCACTCTTCCTGCCAGCCCGATGAATGAAAAGAATCGGAAGGGCAAATGCCAAAAAAAAAAAAAAAAAAAAAAAAAAAAAGAGAGAGAGAGAGAAAACCGATGGATTGAGACAAAGACAATTTAATAGGTGGGGGGAGGGGGAATGGAGGGGGCAGGGAAGGAAACAAAAGCAAGTGGTGCAAAGACAATCAGTCACCACCTCTCACCAGCACACCAAAGCTCAGCCAGTCCCTGGGCAATGACTACTTTGAAAAAATTCCCCCCCACCTTCCACTTCCCAGTTTTAATGCTGAGCGTGATGTTATATGGCATGGAATATCTCTTTGTTCAGTTCGGGTACGGTGTCCTGGCTGTTTACCCTCCCAGTGCCTTGCCCAGCCCAGCTTTACTTGCTGAGGGGCAGAGTAAGAAACAGAAAAGACCTCGACACTATGTAAGCAGTGCTCAGCAATAGCTAAAGCATTGGTGTGTTATCAACACTAGTTTGGTCACAGATCTATACCATGGTGCTATATGGGCTGCTGTAAAGAAAAGTTATCTCCATGCCAGCCAGACACAGACTAACCTCAAATTCAAGGAACGTGACAAGGTCTCTTACAGTTATTTAAGACTTTACAACCAAGCTCCCTGTTCTGATAACAGCCTCAGATGATTTCCAGTGAATGTGGTGGTGATGGTGTTTCGGTGTTTTGTTTTTTTTCTTTTATACATTTTCTATTCTGCATTTAAATCACAAGGAAGCAGTCAAGAAAAATATTAAGTAAGACTTCTGTAAGCATCTTAGTCATTTTGGAAGGCAAGGGGGTTGAAGCATCGCTGAACATCCATTTGTTCCTTAGTCACTAAGCTACTTTCAAAGTGTTGCTTTATCAAAAAGTACTGCAAATGCTATAGTACATTGAAGATGCCGAAAGTTGAAGCTGAGTGAGTTAAATATGGCCAGAGAGGCCATTGTGAAAAACAGCACTATGAAGTATGTTCTGATACCAGTAGTCTGCAGAATATTTGTCACAGAAATAAATACAATTAATTAATTTGCTGCTTGTAGTGGTAAACTGCAGTGTTTGAATTATTGACCAAATAAGTAGGTATGAAATGAAAGTATTTGAAATCATCCCACACATGGTAGCAAAACCTTCAGTTGAGCTTTTTATCTTCCTGTGATATGGTGATAGGAGCCCTATTGAAATAGATATTGTACAAATAAAGACAATCTGTTTCTAAACAGCATATGCTTGTTGTTCACAAAGATGCTTGTGAAGTTCTGAGTACCATGTGTGACAGAAGTAGTACATTGTGGTTTTTCTGCTGCACCTGTACTACTGTAGCAATATTGGTCAACTGAGACTTTCTGTCAAGGGTGAAAGAATTCCTGGCTGGCTTAGAATACAAATATACACAAGTTCACTTTATTTAAAACCATGACATCTTTGGGATAGGAGATGTCTCTTTTATTCTATATTTGGTTGCACTTTACACGTGAAGTATTGTTTAGATGGTGTCACAACACCAATAGCTACTTGGAAGAATGTCTCTGTAAACTTAGCTTGATTTTTCTCCAGAATTTGAAAAGTATGGCTAGGCATAGTCCATACCATACGTGTTCAAAGCACACACTCTTGGATCCGACATTTCTTGCTAGTGGCTGGTAGTGCATGCCTGTCTGTGGTAGCCCATCAGTCATGTTGACTAACTTGACTGTTTAAAAATGATTCCATGCCTAGTGAAAGGAGTCACATGATGGGATGTGTCACAGAATTACCTTTTAATGAACATAGGTATATCATTTTGCATAGAATAATTTGGAAATTATTTTTCAGAACCATTATTAGATAAAGTGGAAAAAAGGATAGGAGTAGTGGTTTGGCATACAAAGCAACTATTACAGGCAATTTGTTCTAGCTCGGTATTAATTAAGCTAAACAAAAGATAGAAGAATGTTTGAAAGGGGAAGATAAACATGAATGGAACTTTCCACAGGCAAAAACTTATAAACCTGCTGCCCAATGCCATACTGATGGTAAACATCATGGGTTTTTTAGACTGTGTATGACTATGACATCTTAATACTTTAACGTACTAAATTACCAAGATGAAGTAGTCACTTGAATTGCATTCCTCTAATACTGAAGGTGTGCTTACACAAAGGCTCCTACCTGCACATGCCCAAGCCCTGTTGAAACTTAACAGATGTAATGAAGATATTTCTGTCTTAACAAGTAGCTTTTCTGTTAGTGTTCTTTAGAACAGTCTATTCTCTTGACTCTAATAATCTTTCCTTGAAGTTTTGTTTGGAGACCAATAATTAGAGTCTGTATGGATTTCACTTGCCACACACTATGTTCAATGCCATGTCAGTCATTCTTTGTTTATGCATTACATGTTTAAGTCATTAAATAAAACTTTTACATCTGTTATTGTAAAAGCCAGGCATCCTCAGAGTAAGTTACTTAGATTTGCCCAATATCCTATCTAATGGCTGAGGAACAAGGACAAAAGTATGAAACAGAAAGAACTTAGAAAGCCCAACCTTACAGAAACTGAAGCAGGATGAGGAGTGCCTCTTAGCAGAAGGCTGACTGTGTTCTCTCCCCTTTCACACGTTAAGAGGAGTAATATCAGTCAATTGTGCTTCATAGGTTTATCTTTGACAGTTTACTATCTCTCTGAATAGTTGGATTGTATTACTTCTCCTGCATACAGGTGTTGGTGGCATTGAAGCAGAAGCAGTGATGTTGGGCCAGCCGATCAGCATGGTGCTTCCTGAGGTTGTTGGCTATAAGCTGCTAGGAAACCCTCAGCCACTGGTAACATCCACTGACATTGTGCTTACCATTACAAAGGTAATGAACATGTCTGCTGTTTTGCTGTTACTGCTGGGAGCTATGCATGTTCTGTAGGACAGAGTCACTGTACTGCATGCTTAGGAGCCCTGTATGTACTTCCATGTAGCCATTTTAGACTTTTTTAAGCTTTGTTGCTCTGTGTGGGTTGGAATCAGCTACCCAAGGACAACTGCAAGTTTGCTAGGCAAATGTGTTTCCCAGAAGCCAGGCAAAATAGAACAGAGAGCTGATATCTTATGGCCTGTTCGAATTCTCATGTGCAGACCTGTTTTGGGACAACAGTGGCTGTGAAACGATGTTGTTTCTCTGACGCCTCAAAAGAAACGCGATGACTATTTTTGAAGTCCCCACTTAAAATAAGGCAGTGTAAAACCTGAAAACAAACAGTAAGCGCTGCAGTCTGATTTCTTTGATCTGGAGGTGTTTGGCTTACATGTCATATGTTCGTAATATGTTTATTCACTCTGTGGATTGTGACAGTATTAAGAGTATCACTAGGTCAGCATTAGTGTTGTTGTGGTCAGAAATCTGGTACACACATTCATCATGGGATGCTGTCTCTAAAGAGACCCTCCAAACGGGGAAAGCCAACGGTTTTTTTTATAATTCATCCAGATGTTGTGTGCGTTCAGTCATTTACAGTTTGATTTATGTACTTGTGCAGTTTTTCCCCGTCTTCCTATGTTTGCTGGCTAAAGACCCCACAGTTCTCTCCTTAGAATGTCATGCTGGGAAAAATACAGTTGTTCTAAGATAGATTCTAGTTTAAATGAGAGGAAGAGCAAGTTTAGGAGGAATACATCCCTGTGTTGTACCTTCTTACTGAAATGATACATCTGTGTCCTCAACTTCGTGATTTAGTTTACCAAAACTTCCTGGTTTTAAATGGCTATAGAAACCTTCAAAAAAAGGTTTATCTGAAGTTGAAAGCTGGATTTCATAACATCCATGCTCAGGTTGTTTGACATCTAGCAATGACACAGGCACTGTATTTTTATAACAGCACCTTCGCCAAGTTGGAGTTGTGGGTAAATTCGTGGAGTTTTTTGGTCCTGGTGTAGCCCAGCTGTCAATTGCTGACCGAGCCACGATTGCCAATATGTGTCCAGAGTATGGAGCAACAGCTGCCTACTTCCCAGTGGATGATATTAGCATTGGGTACCTGATCCAAACTGGTGAGTGTAAGAGGAAACCGTGAGTTGAACGTGTAGTCAGCAATGGGGTTGAATCAGGTGGAGCCTTCTGAGCTTGAGTGCTTTTTTTAATCCATCTTTGCTTATTCAAGCTGTTTCTTGGTCTTAGTGTCCATGTTTAGGAAGAGCTGAGTTTTAGACTGTTTCACAGCTAACTACCTGCTTAGCCCTACCTTAACCTGGCTTGTCCAGATGACAGAAGCAGGAACCTAAGTTTTTGTTCTGCAAAAGCCATTAAGCCTGCTCATTCGCTTTTTACCTAGTGAGCCTCTAACATTTGTGCTGAAAGGGTCCTGTAATGCAATGTACAATGTGAGCAGTGGAATAGCCAGTTAGGAATTTTATTTTTTTTTCTGTCACATAGTAGTTCCTCAGTTTCATTTACGTTTTGTTTTTGCTATATCTGTCTTTCACCTTAGGCCGTGACAAAGAGAAAGTTGTGTGCACAAAAAAATATCTTGAGGCTGTGGGAATGCTAAGAGATTTCAAGAACTCCTCTCAGGATCCGGACTTCACACAGGTTAGAAACTACTCTTGCCTTCTGGCTCCTTGCTTTATGCCCTACCCTATTTAATGTGACAATTGTCTGTTTTTCACAGAAACTAAGAAATAGTCAAGGGACTTCTTATTCTTTGGCTTGGTCCACACAATTGTCTTAACGTAGGTCCCAGTGGAACAAGTCAGCTGGCTCTACAAGTGTGAGAACTTGGGCATAGGTATAGATTGGCTCTCAGTTGAGCTCTAGCTGATGCAGATTCTACAATCTCATCCATGTAGTTTTGAGAAGTCCAGTCCAGACTCCAACACAGCTATGAAGATAGTGTGGATGTAGTCCATGTAAGCCTTGTCCCAGTTTTACCCATTTTCAATTCAGCAACTTATTTTACTGTGTGAATCAGGACACATAGAAGCTCTGTGTGGGAACTGCAGACCACATGAGCCATTTTCTGTGTAAGAAAATCAAGATCTTGCTCTGTGTCCAGGAAACTCCAGAATAACCCTGGTTTTCTCTACAGTAGGAATTGGTCTTGTAACGTATGTTCAGGTTTGTGTGATTATTCAAAAATCTTAGTAAATGTGGAAAGATGCAGCATACTATAAAAACAAAGCTGAAACATGGGTGAGAGACAGGAAAATAGGATAATCTCTGTTTCGTAATAGACTCTGAACATTTTCCCCAAGGCCAAGATGAATAGTCGTCTTTGGTTTATGCCAGTACCAGGATTTCTTCGCATCATTGTTTTCTGAAGAGGACCCCGCTGCTAGCATGTGAGAGGACATAATTCTCAAAACCATCTACATTGTTTAGATGCTTTAGTGACAATTGGGTTTTCAATAACTGGGGTACTTTGGAGAACCATACCTGGGAGCTGGCAGGGTCTGAAAGTAGGACTGTTTCTTTTCCTCTGATCTTTCCTTCCTTGTATGTCTTTGATAATTTCTGCAAACAAACGTAAAGATGTGCAGACTTGCCTTGGTTCAACAGCAGAGGTAACCATACCTGTGGCTTAAGTGGCTTCAACTTGTCATGCAGTGCTGAACCACTCTCTGTTGCTCTTACTGATAGGTTGTTGAGTTGGATCTCCATACTGTCGTGCCTTGCTGCAGTGGACCAAAAAGACCTCAGGACAAAGTTGCTGTGTCAGATATGAAGAAGGACTTTGAGACTTGTCTGGGAGCCAAGGTAGAGACTAGGAACATTTGGGCATACAAACTAATGCATGTTTCTAAACGTTGTCTAGTGTTCAGGAACTACATTCTGAGGTTGACTTGTGTGTTGTTTATTTGCCTACTGAAAAATAAATGAGAATATTTGGACGCAGTTTAGAAGATGACGCCAACAATGTGTAGTCTAAAATTGGGGTGATACCTCTCTCGCATGAAGGTGTTAATCTCCTATTGAAGTAGTAGTTCTTTCTGATTTTAGATCAATCTTAGGCCTAACATGGTTTCAACATACATAGGGCTTTCTGAACTAGCCACAGTGGGTGTTGTTAGTAGAGCGGACAAAGTAGCTACTGCACTGAGCTCTGCTGCCCAGTTGCTACTGGTAGCTGACTGCTGCTTGCTGAGCATGGCTACCCAGCTCTTCAGCTTTCCAAGCAGGTTATGCCCTAGAGCTCCACAAGGGAGTTTTGCGTTCAGTACTGAATCTATTCAGAAGTTCAGAGCTGCATGTGTCTCTCTGACTCTTTGATGCTGGTGGTAAAGACAAAAAAAAAAGGCTTCTCTCTACATTATCCAGTCAAAAACGGCCATTGAAAGAATAGGAAGATTTTAATTAGAATTAACAAGCCCAGACACTTAACCTTCCAAAATCAATTTGAATCCTTACCTGATACAGTAACCGCCCTTATTAAAAGCAGTACGGAACTCTAGTGATGTAAATCAAGCAACTTAAACCACAGCAATTTGCAATAATTCTTGTTTTTGTTGCATATTCCAAACTCCATTAAATGACTTTATGGTTTCAGATCTCATTGATTTTTAATAGTGTCAACAGTGCCATCTTGCTCTTTGTTTTTTTACCGACTGTCAGGCCTTTACCTCTCAAGTCAGCTCTGAGTATAAATTTGAGCTATTTGATATTCATGGCTTAAAAATTTTACATGTTAAGGCTAAAAACTTGGGACTAGATTGTGTAACACGACTATATGTGTTCAGGAATCTGGAGGACATGGCAGTAAGAAGTATCTGAGCAAGCTGAAGAAGGATATATTCATGCAGGAGGGAAACACAAGTACGTTTTGCTGCAAAGCCTGCCTCTTTTACCAGTAAACAGAGAATAGGCTAGACCAGAGAAAAACGGATTTTTGTCTGCCACTTTGACTGAACAGAGATGACCTTGACCTGAAAGTGCAAGCATGGATGTGACTGATGCTTCTCATTTGTGAAATTCCCAGCCTGTACTGATTTCCAGTCAAAATATTTATATTAACGACATCCTTTTGATTCTTTCTCTCTTGCAGCAAGGATTCAAGGGATTCCAAATTGCCCCAGACCGACACAACAGCATAGTCAAATTTAATTTTGAGGGCTGTTACTTTGAACTTGCTCATGGTTCAGTAGTGATTGCTGCCATTACAAGCTGTACAAACACCAGTAACCCCTCGGTTATGCTGGGAGCAGGTAAGTTTGTTTGCTTAATGTGCAGTGATTTCTCTATGTCTCTGGCTGTGTGCCCTAAAGACAAATACAACACTGATGTAATTCTACATGCACAGTGTTGTTTTTGTGATTTGGAGGGATAAAACTGAGCTTAGTCCCTAAAAGCAGCAGAAGGAATTCTGGAAATGGTAGCTAGAAACATGGGTTGAAGAAAATGTATTTTTCCTGCACTGTCTTCTCTACAGGGCAAACTGGAACTGAATTAACCAGCACCTCTGACACTTGTTCAAGTGCACAGAAGGTGTTATATAGAGCTGAGAAGAGGTTAATGCAAGTCAGAGCCACAAGAAGAGGGACAGTGAAGAAAGGCCTATGGGTTTAAGTCTGAAAGTGCTCTGATCTGGCAGCAGAGTACAAAATAAACACTTAGCTAGAGGTGTATCAGGTTATTACAACAAGAGTCTGAGGGCATGTGGAGGGTGAGCATAGGACAAAAATTGTGTTCTCTGTGATTGCCATCTTTCAGAGCTTGTCATTTACATCTTAACTGCATCCAAGAAGTGGTCGGAGGTGCATTTTGTATCCCCCACTTTCTTGCTTATAATATTCACTACTACAAAACAGTAGTCTGAGTTGGTTGTGTTAAATTTCAGATCAGGAGGTTGACTATTTTTAAACTAGCTAGTCTGGGCAGAAAATTTCTCATTCCAAAAGTGTGCTTCTGGCAACAAAATATGGATGAAGAGAGTCAGCTCAAAGGGTTCAGTCTATACTAGCCCAGTTCAGCGTTCTTTCCCAGATGCTTGGCTACATGCTCACATATTTCTTTCTCTCCTCCACAAACATATACATAGATGTTACCTGTCACTGTAAGATCACCACTGCATTAGGGCTTCCTAGTCTGTCAGACTGTAGGATGCAGGCTTATTTTCTACCAAGGTTGGAAGCGATGTACAATGGGCAACACAAGGGCCCTTGTCCAGAGAGGATTACTTGCTGGCTGAAGTCATGTAATTTGTCTCCTTTTGTTCTTGTGTGGTGCTGGGAAAAGCGCCTTGTGGAGACCCTCTGACAAAAATCACTTTGTGTTTAGTTTCTCAAAGTGGTATTTGGCACCTGTTCTTGGGCTAGCATCTTTCTTTGGGTACTCATCCCCTTCCCAGGCACAAAAGGTCTTTTAATTCCTAGCAACAGACACAAAGGACATCATAAACAAGGTGAGGCGGAAAGGGAAGCAAAGGAGAGACCTGCTCTATTTCTTAGTCCTTTGAGAGAAACAAGATTGAACAAAGTGTTCCAGTTCAGTTGCCCTTGACAGCACAGCCAAATCGGCATACTTCTTTCTTCAGGTCCATCCTGATCATGATCACAGAAATAGAGCTGTAATTCTGTCTTCCAAGGATCAAGAAGTAGGTTTCCTCCAGGCAGACTAACTTTACCCTATTCCCTTAGTCCTAGGTGGGTGTATCCCTCAGTTGTGCCACCTGCTTAGGATATAGTTTTCTCAAGTGTTTGGCTCCCAGGCTAATGGCATGCATTTTTAACCTAATGGCATGCATTTTTAACCCTCTCTGTGGCAGTGGGGATGCTGATCTTTCAGCCTGCTTCACTTAACAGCTCTGTGATAATTTGGCTTTCAGACTAGGGTTTGAAGTGAAAGTAAGTAAAACATGCAGTACTCCCACACTAAGTTACCAAGCTAAAAGAAATCCAAAATATGAATGATTGTTTTAAACTACCGATGTTTATGCTGTGCACTAAACAATGTGCATGGGCTGTGAGTCTGTGGGGCTACTCAGTGTATGCTATAGTAGCCTTGACAGCCTAATCTGACTTTACAAAAGTTTTGGATTAGGGTTTCCCCAAGCAAGTGAAGTTCTGGCGCTTCTTTGCTGGTTTTTAGTCTGACTTTGCATGCTTTTGAGAACTGGTATTGGCAGGAAAACAGAAGCCAATGCTTTCAAACAAGCTGTCAGGCTTTCAGGTTCTAGGATGATCACTTGTTCCTGGTCACGTTTACGAAAGTATCCAAGAGCTCCAGTTTCCACAGTTTCCCCTGGCAGTTAAGGAGCCTCAGCAATTTCAGGAATAGGACTGCTTTTTTAAATGCACATACCTACCTTTAGGCCTCCAAATCCATCTGTGTAGGCCTTCTCACACAACACTTACAATGCAGATCTCTGGGTTGTGTCTAACAGAGCTCCCAAACAGCTGGCAAAACCAAAACAGTTTGATGATGTCTTCCAGTTGGAGATCATGTTGGATCAAAGCAGAGCTGATGTATATTTTCTTATCTAAGTGGATGTATGAGAGAGAGAATGAGGCATGGGAATGTGGACTTCTGCATAGTTTGCATAGCTGCTGCTTCTTTTATGTCTATCCTGGGAAAGGGCTGGTGGGGACTTGTTTTCTTAACATTCATCTATGTATGGACAATTCATTTAAAAGGATGAATTTCAGGATAAATGTGTTTCTGGTAGCACGTATGCTCCTCTCAAACTTCTCTAGGCATGTTACAAATCCAGGAGGGATAAACAGCACTCCTGCAACAAGCTCTAGATTGCGAGATAGCTTGTTTGTGACAAGGGCCACAGCTGGTGTTCTCGTAGCCATCCGCTTCTGATGGCAGCAAGTCATCTGTTGGCATTTACTCCAGCCCTGGGTCACTAGACCACCATAAGTGGGAAGTTAACAATTCTTCATTACATTTTTTTGTGACACACTTTTCTTATGCATAGTGTTTGTTTAACTGTCTGTGTTTTGAATGTCTGCATGCTCCAGTGTGAGTGCATCTTGTTGAATGCAACTTCCAGCAGCTTTCCACTGGAGCAGTAATTGCAGGCTGGATTTACAGTTCAACAGAGCACTCGACCGCTAGCTGGTTACTCTGGTATTAGTGCTGTTGGCTCACTGTACCATTTCATTTCTGGAAATGGAGCCTTTTCTTTTTTGTAGTTATCTAATGGTACTTCTGTTAACCTGTTGATCCACCAAACTGTCCCACTTCCAGGAAAAACTGCAACTGTCCTTTGCATTTTTCAGGTTTGCTTGCTAAGAAAGCTGTTGAAGCTGGTTTGACAGTGAAGCCATACATTAAAACTAGCCTGTCCCCAGGAAGCGGGGTTGTCACTTACTATCTGAGGGAGAGTGGAGTGATGAATTACCTCTCCCAACTAGGGTAAGAGTACTTTTCCTATGGTTGTCCTGTGGCTGCTTAACTAAAAGCACTGACAGCAAGCGATGCAATAGAACAACTATTTCTCTGTACAGCTTAAATGATATGGCAGGTACCCTATGGCATGATTCTGCATGAGTTAATGCATCGCTGTTGTACTATCTGATTTTGTGCTGATGAGGGAGAAGGCCTGTTGCCTGCTGTAGCTTCTTGAAGACTCATATTCTTAAGCAGGAAAATGGGTTATTTTTCAAGATGAATGGTTTTGAAATTGCATAAATGACACCGTTGTTCATCTTGCTAGATAATACATTTCCCAGATCTTTATTCTGTGTGCACAAACAGTCACTGCAATGATAAAAATCGAGCATTCTCAAAAATGCTGTTCTCGGCAGCAATTCATCTGTTACAGGAGGACATCTTCTGAAAGTAACCCTAGCCAGCTGCTGAGGTGTTAAACATCTTCGTCCAAAATAGCTTTTTGTTCACTGATGATTTTTGTGCTCTGTCTAGGTTTGACGTGGTGGGTTATGGCTGTATGACATGTATTGGCAATAGTGGACCCCTACCAGAGTCTGTTGTTGAGGCCATTACACAGGTATGAAGCTTTTCCTATGCAGCTTATTTAGGTAAGGTGTTCTTGTCTGTGTGCTGTTCTGAGCTGTGTTATACTGTGCACTAACTCTTCTCAGCTGTGTACAAAGTAAATTCAGTCTGTATTCTTTTCACTGTGGGAAGTGCTTTGAGATTGTTTGGCAGGAGACTATTCTGTGGCTGTCCAGTCATTGATGTTGCAGCATGGTGCAATTCTGCAGGGCGTGTGGAGTCTGCAAGCACCTCAGCTGTCTTTGTCTCAAACTCTCTCTTGCAGGGAGACCTCGTAGCGGTGGGTGTGTTGTCTGGCAATAGGAATTTTGAAGGGCGTGTCCATCCCAACACCCGTGCTAACTACCTGGCCTCCCCACCACTGGTAATAGCCTATGCCATTGCAGGGACTATCCGGATTGACTTTGAGAAAGAGCCTTTGGGTAAGACAGTGTCAGGATGCTTGTTTTCACAGCTTATAAACTAAACTGGTTGGAATTAAGCTCTTCAGAAACATTTGTCCTAGGCAGATGCTTCAAATGACTGAGTACCTCTGGGATGCAAAGCGTGCAGCTGTTAAGAAACAGAGCAACAAGGAGTCTGTACGATGGAGAAAGGGGGAAGCCAAGCCTGATCAGTATTCTAATTCCACAGGCACATCTTTCTGGTTATATCTGGGTGGCAGTCTCTAATCAGCAACCTGACCTAGTAGACTTTCTTTGAGCGGGTAGTTCAGACAGACAACCATCCAATATCCTTTCCAACCTAAATTATTCTAAAAATTATTTTGGAAAGCCACTGGAAATCACAAAAGAAGGTGTATGTGCAGGCATCATGAAGTTTGTGAGGCCCTCTTCTGTCAGACCCTTGTATGCAAAATAAAGTGTGTCTCATGAGTGTTGACAAGGTTAGAAGGAACACATAGCTAAAGGACACTGTGATAAAACTTTTTCTTTCTTTCTTAATGGAAAACTTATGCAACAAATGTAACAATAACATTTTCTACAGGAATAAATGCTTCGGGAAAGAAGATTTTCCTGAAAGATATCTGGCCAACAAGAAATGACATTCAGGCTGTTGAGCGTCAGTTTGTTATTCCTGGGATGTTCAAGGAGGTCTACCAAAAAATAGAGGTGATTTAATCCCCTGGGCATTAGCTTGATTGATGTACTGTGCTATTCTGAAGATGTTAAATAACTGGTCTTGATAATGAAATGAACCTTTTCCTTCTATTGCTTTTGCTTCTGTTCTGACAAGTATTCAAATGAGATTTTAATTCTTTTTAAATGGCTTCTGGTTAATTAATTGGTTCCTTCTGACCGCTGGGTCCTGACGTAACATACAGATGATGTGTTTTAAACAGTCATCCTAGGCTGATATTATGAAGTGAGATATTCCAGCTTCATAGATGTTTGGGTTTTTTCAGCTGACATAAAATTCATTTGCATTACTTGTTAGAATCACAGAATATTCGGGGTTGGAAGGGACCTCTGTGGTTCCCCTAGTCCAACCCCCCTGCC